TCGGTGGCTGCCCCGCACCATAGACGTTTCTTTGATGCCAGCTGTGACATATGCTGTGAGATGCATTGAATTCGGTCCTTTGAGGAAGCGACAGGATTTCTTGGAATCATCAGTCACTCCCGCCGGTGAATGATGCAGGTTATCCTGGTGCATTTGCACTCAAGCCAAAACAACTGCCATAGATAATTTTTTTAAGAGGCATCGTACCAGTATCCTTAGAACCAGTTATTTATTTATTTATTTATTTATTTGTTGCAATAGTGCAAATAATTTTCTCATAAATAAAGTTTTCATTACCAAGCAGATAAGAAAAGATAAGAGCAGTTCCTGAATTTTAAATCAACTGCTGCTTTTTTCTGGAATTATTTCTTAGGTGCAATAAATATAACTAAACTTATCGGACAAAGACTTGTTCTGCCGTCATGTTCTGTCGATGTAGGGATTTGTCTACATATATGTCGGCCCTAAACCCTTTAAACCAACAATTTCAGTGTTCAGAATCTTTCTGACAAAGCACATGAAGGAATCCAGTCTGACCACGATCCTTTTTGTTCCTACAACAATAGCATTTAACAGGGGTTGATTTTCTTTTATATTCCTCTCTTTACTGTGTCTATAAAATATTCCAACCTTTCTTTTCTCTTATTTTCTACAACAAACCTTTTGAAAAGCACTAATACCAGGCTTATTTATCTTAATAAAACTGAAATCTTAGGTGATAAAATAATATTACCCTCCATTTTATGCATACGATTACCTAACTACCAGGATTTTTCCCCAGAAAATATGTAAATATATCAGGCAAAACGATTCACCTACTTATTCATGTTGACATTATGTAGAGCGGGATGCTACTGATATTCGACCTTAGTCGCAGTTATAAGAGAAATATTTACCATGATTAAGACCAAGCGTATAATGACAATAGTTTGCTTACAGTTGTGATCGACCAGCGAAAATTTATTTTGAGGTAGGATTGGAAATTTGAAAATACGTATGAAGTGAAAAAAAAAAGTGAAGACGTGAATATGCAAGTTTCTTTCAACAGGACTAAAAATTTAAAGAATTCGTGAAAATTCTGATGCTTTTCAGTACTGTGAAAAACGTGTACAAGCAACAACCTACGGCACCTCACTCATCAACAAGTGTTGAAGATTCTCCTATGGTATTATAGTTTTTTATGCTATCACAAAAATAACTACATGTGTTTCGTTTGCTACGCGATCCGAGAAAGGCATCCCCGAATTCTATAATTTTAGCCCTCTCTACCTCAATGCAAGCAAAGTAAATATTGGAGGGAGGAGAGTTATAATATTAGAGGCGGGGTTATAATATTCCAGTGTAACAATGAATAAAAATATGTATACGAGTGTGTATGTTTATACATATGAATTTTTTGTACCTATGTATACATGCATGCGTATGCAAATGTGTATTCGTGAATTTACGTATGTAAATTTTTTGGATGTACACTTGAGCATATGTATACATGTGTGTATGTGTACACGATCTTAAACACACACACAGTTCTGTGTATATCAGAGATTTATGTCTTTCCTCGGGTTTTGTGTTCTTTATTAACATTACTGTATGATTTAGTGCATAATATACGTGTGTATTTTTATTTCATGTAGTGGCAAATCCTTGAGAGCCATTCAAGGAGTGGTGAAGGCTCGATCCTCCATTCAGTAACCCTAGCTCATCCTCTGACCAGCTAGACTGAATGTGTTAAATTTATTTAACATCTTTTCTAAATAAATTGGGATTTTCTCGTCTCTATTTCCCAAGTGGGAACAGATTCAAGTGATTTGAATCTGTTCCCACTTGGGAACTTGGGAATCTTCGCCTCTGATGTTATTAGGAGACTCTAACATGTAGGTCTGACAGCTGCGTTATAGTGTTACTATTGTAGTGTTGATAGAATTACCGACAATGTGTTAGGTAAGAGACCATGTACCCTCGTATTGTTTGTGACAAAGTTCCTGGAAAGCTAAAATTTTCCACAATAAAAATGTAGCATTAATTGAACATGTTTCCTTTTACCTAACATAGTGTTACTATTGTTTCGAACGCTTTATACTTTAAAGTTCAAAATGAGAAACTTAGCAAAGAGACAGAGACAGAGAGAGAGAGAGAGAGAGAGAGAGAGAGAGAGAGAGAGAGAGAGAGAGAGAGAGAGAGAGAGAGAGAGAGAGAGAGAGAGAGACAGACAGAGACAGACAGACAGACAGAGATAGCTTGTCAATAAAGCTAGGGATCCTTAACCTAAACTTGTCAAACCCTGTGTATAAGAAAGAGAGAGAGAGAGAGAGTCCTCGTGACCACTCGGTCTTTGGACAGAGCTCTCATCAGCTGCCACAATCTCCGGCACGAAAATCCGATGAAGTGGGCGTGACGTCGAACAAGCTGGGAGAGGACGGGGAGGTGGAAGGGAAGACAGGAAGGGAGAAATGGAAGTGAGGAAGAGAAGGGAGGCGGGAAAATGAAGAAGAAAAGGGAGGAAGGGGACGATGCGATGTGAGGAAGTAATGAAGAGCCAGAGTGTGAGGAGTGAGGGAGTTCGATACTTGACGAAGATAAGTGAGCAGTGGCAGGGTAGGTGAGGGATGGGGTAGGAGACCCAAGGAGTGATAGTGGGGTTTGGATGAGAGGGGAGCCGAGGGAATGTGGGTAAGGGGGTCGTGAGGAGGGAAGTCTGGATAAGTGAGAGGTGGCGGAGGAGAGGTGGGGAGGAGAGATGGGGTGGTCGTTTCTACACAGGAGGCGTGGCACACGAAAGGCGACGATCCTTAATAAAATCAGTAAGCCCCTCCAGCTGGTAGGTTATTACTAGACTCACCTGGTAGAGAGAACACTGATCTCTGAGGTGTTCACCTCATCTCTCTCATCAGAGTAACTTCTCTCTTTCTCTTTCCTCATCTCATGTGTTTACTCTGTGTGCGTGTGCTCGCGGAGATGCGATATTATCTTTTTTTTTCAATTTTGCTAAATGGTTGTTTGTGAAGTTTGATATAAATTTACGAATTTAGTTCGTACGGATACTTAAGAGTGTTCTTACCTTCTGTGAAGCTGACGATGAATAAGAGGTTTTTACTGCGAGTTCTACTGAATTTGATATAACAGTACATGAACCATCTACTGTGAGTGTGAGTGATGTAACATTATGCGACCTCCACCGTGTCACAGTTTTATGTGATATTCTTCGATCTTTCTTCTGTGAGTGTGATTGTGTTAGATATATAAGTAATTTTAACTTTCTTTAGTGACTGTCAGCGTTTAATAAAAATATACATAATCTTTTCCTGTAAGTGTGACTATGTTTGATAATATAGGACTATCAGGGTAAGATAAACGTTTGTTTGTACAAAGAAAGAAACCCACTTGAAGCCAGAAAAATATGTAAGGGAATATCTATCTGTTTCGTCCTCCAGCTGTTGAAGAGGATCTTCAATGCCACGAAAACTCACAGAGCCGTAAACAAACACCCAAGTCAGTCAGTGAACAAACACCCAGGGTAGTGAAAAGAAACTCCCAGGGCAATTAACAAACACTCAGGGCGGTGAATCAGCACTCAGGGCCATGAACAAAAACCCAGGGCCATGAGTAAACTCCCATGGTCATGAATAAACACCCTTGCCATGAATAAACACCCATGGCCATGAATAAACACCCATGGCCATGAATAAACACAAATGATCATGAATAAACTCCCAGGGCAGTGAATCAGCACCCGGGTGGTAAAGAAATGCTAAGGGCTTTCAACAAACATCCAAGATAGTAAACAAACACCCAGGACTGTAAACAACACCCAGAGCCTTGAACAAACACCCAACCATTAAAAAACAAAGCAGTAAAAAGCAGCTAGGCCCCTGGGCCCAGGATCCTGGGAGGTCAAAATATACAGATTCTCTATTATCTCCGTTTCTGTCTACATGTCGATTTTTCATCCGTGTGATAATGATAAGTGAACAACTTGCTCGTGTATACATTCATGAAAACTAATATTCGATAAATAAATCACATACATCTTGAAGGGGTCTCTCCTGATGTATTTCAAACTCTTTATCCAGCTGTCTCAAAACATGAATCTTCCTGATATGCCTAAGTTGACATATGTGACATTTAACTCGTTGAAGTTAACGTGTCGTTCAGCACATTTAAGCTACTAATGTGTATGGCTTTAAACACGTTTTAGAGCGACGTACGTGATATCAAAAGCGTTTAATGTCTCCCACTCGCTGTTAAACACGTTCATTCTGACTGCTGACATCAGTCGCGTTCGATCTGACGTACGTAATATCAAAAACATTCAATTTGAAGTAAGAAACAAAAAAAAAATCATTTTGAGAGACATGCCATCGAACACGTTCAAGTAACGTAACTGGCTTCAAACACTTTTAAGATGATAATGACATCAGTCACGCTAAAATTGATATTCCTGACAAAAACATAGCATGAACGGTGTACAACGTGACATCACGTGAATAAATTTACTTACTTACTTACTTACTTACTTACTTAATGCCTCTCGGCTCCTCCCATTGACCTCAGAATCCTCACACACTTGGCCTCGTCTTTCCTTGCTAAAAATAATACTGGAAGCCACTGAGCGGGACATCGGTATTAATTTTAGTGTTACAGTAATAACTGTTAAAAAATATTAACTATCAATAATATTATTAGTACTTGTGATTATACTACAGTGGCTATCTTTAACTTTTTTTTTATCCCAGGGCAGAGTTGGTGTTCTAATTTAAGAAGGGAATTCTAAAACACGTCTCCTGAGAATCCATAAAGGAACCCCTGAGAAAACGCTGACAGAAAAGAGCTATAAAGCGTCAAGACAAGAGAGAGAGAGAGAGAGAGAGAGAGAGAGAGAGAGAGAGAGAGAGAGAGAGAGAAGAGAGAGAGAGAGAGAGAGAGAGAGAGAGAGAGAGAGATCAGGTGTCGTCACTTGATGCTAAAAATACGTGTGTGGGTTATCTCTTAATAAGAAAGATTTCGACAGTGATAAAGCACAATTTTTTCTTGTGATTGTTTGTGGTTCAACCAAAAACAAAGAATAAATATGAAAATCGACGAAATAACAATACTTTAGTAATTTACTCAAGTGTTAACGTCAGTGAATAAAAATATATGTGGAATTAGAAAAGGGAGAAAATAAGAAGGTGGAGGATAAAAGAAACTTACACTTAATGTACAAATGTATCAAAGATTCAGAAGAAATGGCATGATAACAAAGGTTATGGTTGCATTGCACGATAATGCAAGGAATATTTAAAACGCACGATATCGAAAAGAACATTTAAATAATCGGGGAATTGATCAGTAACATAAAGAATATTTACATCATTCAGTAACATAAGGAATATCTAAATCATAGAGTCACATAAGGATTGCTTAAAAAAATATCTGGCAAGACTGCAGGTAAGTTTGATGCCAGATATGAGGAATAGAAATATGCAGGTAGAATCGACATCATTCACTGAGACGAACTCGCACACCTCATGGTGTGGGTCAAGGCTGTACTCATTTTAACGGAGGATAAACCATACCACGGGTGGGGATAGAATCCGCGATCAGAGAGTCACAAAACTCCAGACCACCGCGTTAGCCACTGGACCAACTAGGTATATTTCTACACCATAGGAAGGTTAGCATAGGCACCACGGAGGATGACAGGGTAAGGAGAAATTCACTAGAAAGGGAAAGTAACACCATATAGAAAACTAAGGTGCTTTCATCCACGCAAAACTGCGCTCACATCATTTGCTAAGTAACAATCTCAGGCAAAGTTCCTTCCACACATGACTGATCTGGCTTAACATTTCCCGGTGTTCACTGCACATGACGTGACCTCTCCTGCCCCTCCACGTCTCAGGAATGTATATAATACTCAGTGGAAAGTTTGTGTTTATTACCCCAGTCACCATTATCATTATTATTTTTAACATATTATACTAATATAAGTGAAATTCATTAAAACTGATTAATAACTGTTTTAGAGTAAAATTGGATTTTCTTCCATATAACTGATATATAATAGGATCTCGTTAGGAAGTCAGCGCTGAAGAGTATGATAAGCCTCACTAAAAAAACATACCACGGGCGGGGATAGAACCAGCGATCAGAGAGTCTCCAAACTCTCTGATCGCGGGTTCTATCCCCGCCCGTGGTATGGTCTGTTTGCAATCGTGTCATTACGATTTCGTGAGTCATGTTGACGGCTTTGAGAGGACTTGAGCTAGAGTTCGTCACGGCCACGCTAGCTGAAGATTTGTCTGTAAAAACTTGCATTTGTGGTCACAGTGGTGCCTATGCTAACCTTCCTATGGTGTATAAATATACCTAGTTGGACGAATCTTATTGTGGCTAGCTGGTCCAGTGGCTAACGCGACAGTCTGGAGTTTTGAAATTCTCTGATCGCGGGTTCAATCCCCGCCCGTGGTATGGTTTGTTTGCAATAACTCAACTTCTCTAGGACTTGAGAGTGACTTTAAATGATCACATTTTAACTGTTTGCTAATTTACATAGACAATTTATTTATAAATCTCCAAAACTTTTCCATTAGTATAAATTTAGTTATCTGGACCAATAGCGAGTGAATCCTAAAACTCACGAAGAATGCGTAAGCCACTTTTACGATTTCGTGAGTCATGATGACGTCTACAAAATATAGATACGCAGATGTGCTCCTGCATCTAATTCATCACCCCAGTAATGTGTCGGGAGGGGGGAAGGAGTATCGTAAATTCTGGCACAACAGGATAATGACCCGATACACGGGTAGGTAGTTCTCAGGTTCCTATAGTTCATTCAGAGGATGAATCATTCACTGATCTTAGTTACAAAAAAATACATCACGCAAAAGAAAAGACTAAGATAACGAACAATTAATAAACTACTACTTTTGTAAAAACTGAACACACATAACCAATAAACTATCACAGCGAGTTACCAACATCAATTAAAAATTCTATTAAACTTTCAGTTTCCCTGAAATTTCTACAGGCACCCAGGCAGTTAACATAAGAACATAAGAAAGGAGGAACACTGCAGCAGGCCTGTTGGCCCATACTAGGCAGGTCCTTTACAATTCATCCCACTAACAAAACATTTGACCAACCCAATTTTCAATGCCACCCAAGGTAAGACACATATGCAACAGTTAGGTATCTTTATTATGAAACGTTTCGCCTACACAGTAGGCTTCTTCAGTCAAGTACAGAAAAGTTGATAGTATGAAACAATATTGTTTCATACTATGGAACAATGCTCTTCTCCAGACTGAGGGACTGACCACCTCAAAACTTTAAGGGTGATGGACTGATTACATCGTCTTCAAGTATCTTCTGCTTCTATCAACTTTTCTGTACTTGACTGAAGAAGCCTACTGTGTAGGCGAAACGTTTCATAATAAAGATACCTAACTGTTGCATATGTGTCTTACCTAACAACCTGTCGGTATTTTATACCATTTTAATGTTCAATGTCACCCAAGAAATAAGCTCTGATGTGAAAGTCCCACTCAAATCCAACCCCTCCCACTCATGTACTTATCCAATCTAAATTTTAAACTACCCAAAGTCCTAGCCTCAATAACCCAACTAGGTAGACTGTTCCACTCATCAACTACCCTATTTCCAAACCAATACTTTCCTATGTCCTTTCTAAATCTAAACTTATCTAATTTAAATCCATTACTGCGGGTTCTCTCTTGGAGAGACATCCTCAAGACCTTATTAATATCCCCTTTATTAATACCTATCTTCCACTTATACACCGATCAGGTCTCCCCTCATTCTTCGTCTAACAAGTGAATGTAACTTATGAGTCTTCAATCTTTCTTCATAAGGAAGATTTCTAATGCTATGTATTAATTTAGTCATCCTACGCTGAATGTTTTCTAACGAATTTATGTCCATTTTGTAATATGGAGACCAGAATTGAGCTGCATAATCTAGGTGAGGCCTTACTAATGATGTATAAAGCTGCAGTATGACCTCTGGACTTCTGTTGCTTACACTTCTTGATATAAATCCCAGTAATCTATTTGCCTTATTACGTACGCTTAGGCATTGCTGTCTTGGTTTAAGGTTGCTGCTTACCATAACCCCCAAGTCCTTTTCGCAATCTGTATGGCTAAGTTCTACATTATTTAACTTATAAGTACTAGGGTTATGGGCACTCCCAAGCTTCAGAACCTTGCATTTATCTACATTGAACTGCATCTGCCACTTTTCTGACCAAGAATAGAGTTTGTTTAAATCCTCCTGAAGTTCCATAACATCTACGTTTGAATCAATTATCCTACCTATCTTTGTGTCATCGGCGAATTTGCTCATATCACTAGTAATTCCCTCATCAAGATCATTGATATATATTATAAACAACAACGGGCCCAAGACTGATCCCTGTGGAACGCCACTTGTTACAGATCCCCACTCGGATTAAACCCCATTTATGGACACTGCTTCCTGTCAGTGAGCCATGACTCGATCCACGAGAGCACTTTTCCCCAATGCCATGAGCTGCCACTTTCTTTAACAGTCTATGGTGCGGAACTCTATCAAAAGCCTTACTAAAATCTAAGTAAATAATATCAAATTCTTTATCGTGGTCAACAGCCTCAAAAGCTTTACTGAAGAAAGTTAATAAATTAGTTAGACAAGACCGGCCTCTTGTGAATCCATGCTGAGTATCATTAATCAAGCTATGCTTATCGAGATGGCTTCTTATAATCTCAGCTATAATTGACTCTAGTAATTTGCCTACAGTTGAGGTCAGGCTTATTGGGCGGTAATTTGACGGTAACGACTTGTCCCCTGTTTTAAAAATAGGAATTACATTAGCCATCTTCCACATATCAGACACTACACCTGTTTGAAGAGATAAATTAAAAATATTAGTTAATGGTTCACAGAGTTCCATTTTGCATTCCTTAAGAACCCTTGAAAAAACCTCATCAGGACCCGGCGACTTATTTTGCTTCAGTCTGTCTATCTGCTTCACAACCATTTCACTAGTGACTGTGATGTTACATAATTTATCTTCTTCTAGCCCACTATAAAAATTAATTACTGGAATATTGTTAGTGTCTTCCTGTGTAAAAACTGAGAGAAAATAATTATTAAAAATCGAGCACATTTCATTCTCTTTGTCAGTAAGGTGCCCATAGTTATTTTTAAGGGGACCTATCTTATCTCTAACTTTTGTTCTATAGACCTGGAAAAAACTTTTTGGGTTAGTTTTAGAATCCCTAGCAATTTCATAGTCCCTTTTAGCTTTTCTTATCCCCTTTTTAATGTCCCTCTTAATGTCAATATACTGATTCATAAGATGACCCTCACCTCTTTTGATACGCCTATAAATTCTTTTCTTATGCCCTAGTAGATATTTGAGCCTATTATTCATCCATTTTGGGTCATTTCTATTTGATCTAATTTCTTTATATGGGATAAACGTTCTTTGAGCAGCATGTATAGTGTTCAGAAAACTGTCATATTGATATCTCACTTCGTTACCCCAGTCAACAGATGATAAGTGTTCTCTAAGCCCATCGTAATCTGCTAAGCGAAAATCTATCGTACTTCCATTCAATGCTAAATGTAATTGATTTGTGGTCGCTAGCACCCAGTTCCTCTGAAATTTCTAAATTATTAACAAGGGATTCATTGTTTGCCATAACTAAGTCAAGCAGGTTATTTCCCCTAGTAGGTTCTGTCACAAACTGCTTCAAAAAACAATCCTGAACTACTTCTAAGAAGTCGTATGATTCTAAATTCCCAGTCAAGAAATTCCAATCAATATGACTAAAGTTAAAGTCTCCTAGAATTACTACATTATCGTGCCATGTGGCCTTAACAATTTCCTCCCATAGTAGTCTCCCTTGTTAAAACCAGGTGGAAAATCTAAAAAAATCTAATCTAACGAATATAAAAACTACACAGGCAGTAGCTATCAGCAGCGGTTATTAAATTCAACCTCTTGCTTTTCAGGTTTCACGAAGAACTCTTCAAAGAGTGAAAATGCACGCCCAGCGATGTCCAATGGCTAAACTTCGGGCAGCCAGCCAGCAGAGCCCAGAGGTCTTAGATCAAGCCACCAAGCATAAAAGTACCAAGACCAGCATCCTACCTTCAGTGATCAAACGTGTCACCGAGAGAAAAAAGAAACATGAGAAGTTTCGTCGAGGTCAGCGAAACCATTCAGCCAGGAGCCAAGAGAGGCCTTCGTTCTTTCAGAAGCTGCATGGAGATGCCGCTTCATGTCTGCCGCCTCGACCTCAGATGTATAGTGATGACACTTGGAAGACAAACCAATGCAGAGTTGTTTCACCGGTGACACAACAGATATTCTACAGTGATGCTGCTCACAAGTTACTGCTGCGTACATCTGGAGATCAGCCTCTTATTTACAACGAGAACTGTGAAGTTCATGGCCGCAATAGCTCTCATTCCTCCAGTATGTCAAAGAGTGTGAGCTGCTCTTCTGCGGTTCATTCACAACCCAGGCAGAACGTCAGTGGCGAGCGGCTGAAGAACTGGCGTCGGAATTCTTTCACCTTCACAACAGCTAGTAAGGTTTACAATAACGCGACCGCTCGGAGGCACGTAGAAGCTACCCATCGATCGGTTTCTTTAGAACAAGATTTACAATGCTTGCCGTCAACAGCCAACCAAAAAAGAAATAAGCCCCGAAAATCAACCTCGGTGAGTTCCAGCCTTTCTTCTGCTGTGCCTTCATCAACTTCATTTATTAAAAGCGATGCTGCCTTCCATGAGGACCATAACAGAAGGTCGCACTTTAGGCGGGCATGGTCGCTCTTCTCCATAGCATGCAACGAGGTTGAAAAGGAGAAGCCTCCGCCCCAGAAAATCCTCCGGCAGCCGACGCGGCACGTTTATCGCAGAGGTATATCTGGCTTACCGATAGAGTGTACCAATAGACATATTATATTCTCTTGACAATTACGGTGCCATTTTTATTAAACGCGCACCGTCTGTGAAATACTTAGTAGGTGGGTGGAATGTTAAGAGGCTGTTAATTACATGACTGGAAAAGTTAACTTTCCACCGAAGTCTCATGTAGTTAATTAACCCCACAATTTCCTTATTGCAACGCCTACTTAATATATTTACTGATAATCTTCTCAAAGAACGTCCAACAAATAAAGCAAACAAAAAAGTTGTTTTAAACATAAAAATTGCATGCTGAAGTATTGTACAAATTCATTAATGTTTACTTAGCAAATTTGACAAATTAAAAAGTTGTCTAATAACACGAAGGCCAGTCACTAATGTTTTGTTCATTGACAGTAATACCAGAGGCAGTACAGATGTTCAGAACCTCGTTGTTCAACATATCGTTCAACATATCTCTCACTGGACCTTACGGTTTTTACTTACGAATGGAGGAGGACTCGAACGGAGGTTCTTGCATGTAACAGGTCCATCGCTGTCCCGAAGAATGAAGCTTACAATAGGGTGGTTTCATAAAGAGCACATTTGTGACAAGTTTGTATCAACATGATCAACTGAGACCCTCCTGTCCATCCCAATGGGAAGTTTTCCCAGGGTAATTTTTGTTTTTTAATCTAAAAAATTTAAAAACTCAAAAATTGGTTTGAAAAATTAAAAACCCGCGACCCCGCCTTCTTTGGGTTTAATGGAAGCGCATTTACTTTTGGCTGTGGGGCTTTTGAAACAATAATGGAATTTGGGGAGGGAAAAGGCTGGGCCCTTTGTGCCGCTGGAAAAACCCGGAAAGGCTGTTTGAAAAAGGCTCCTTTTGTAAGCTTTGGTGGCTCGGGGGGTGAAGGGGGGTTTGGGGGAAAAGGGGTGGTAATTTTCCCCAAAGGGAACCGGAAAACAATGTATAAAGGGTTTTGGCAACGTGACTGTTGGTAAACTTGTGTTACCCATCTGGAAAGACAACAAAGGGTGCAAGTGAGGGTGAATGTGTTTTCGTTCTTTTAATACCCCTACCTAGGTTATATTTATTATTAAATTCATAGGTAGGCGCTTAACCCGTATGGGATCACACAGCGTCTGAAGACTCTGAGGGAATTAGGTTCGATTTGGGAAAAGGGGGGTTTAGTTTTTAAGCCCTTGGATCAAAACCCATCACCGTATCAAGGTCGCCCTTCGAAGTACAGGCTGGAATGGTTAGGTATATTATTTATAAGATTTTATTCCATCTGCATCCTGAAAATATTAGATTCAGCTTGAAGTGCATTCAGAATTTTTAAATAGGATTCTTCACCAGCATAGAGATATAGACTAATATAAATATATCTCATAAATTCATAATTTCTCAATAAAGGTTTCAAGTATTAAAAATGAATTCTTTAGTGTATTTTAATTACCCTAAATACTGTTATTTCAGCTGTACCAAAAAATTGCCAATTTAAAAAATTTCTTCAAAAATATTTTGAGTTTTTTTTTGGGGGGGGCGTTCATTGTATTAAAATGGAAAACCCTTTTTAAAACCGTGATGTACATATAGGGGGGGGCCAGAGCGTATACGAGGGGGCAATAACAATACCCGGACCAGTGCGTCCCCAGAAGAGAGAGAGAGAGAGGAGGGGAGAGAGAAGAAAAGGGAGGAAGAGAGAGAGGGGGGGAGAGAGAGAGGAGAGGGAGGAAGAGAGGAGGAGAGAGAAGAGAGGGGAGAGGACAATAACCAGCCCCCTGACCAAACATGTCCTGTGGGGTAAAAAGGGTATCACACCTTTTACAGAGTGTGGCTCGGCGGGGCTAAAAGGGGAATCAAAAATGGTCAGGAAATTCCCAAAACCCATTATCTGACTAAAAAGGGGTTTTGGGTAACCATGAATGGACCAGTGTGGTCGGGGGATGTGGGGTAAGGGGGCCCCAGAAACTAGGGCACTGGACCGTGGGTCTGGGGGGGGTAAGAGGCCAATAACCAGTGCACTGGCCCGTGTGGCCGGGGAGGGGAAAGAGGGCCAAATAATCAGTGCACTGGCCGGTCCCGGGGGGGGAAAGGGGGCCCAAATTTTTTTCAGTGCACTGGCCCAGTGGGGCCCTGGGGGGGATAAAGGGGCCCAAATAACCAGTGCACTGGACCGAATATGGTTAAAGGGAAAAAACGACCCTAAACTATGTATTTCGGAGTGGGGTTTAAATGTCAAACACTCCCGTAACCTTTTAAATCATTTCGCAAATTTTTTTTTTTAACTGCGCTAGTGTTATTATTTGCAGATATTGTCACGAATTTTTTTATTTTTGGGGGTACAGCTCCTTTCCCTTTTTCCTCCGAGACTCCTGCAAGATGGGTAACTATGGGCCCCACAACAATATCGCCACACTAAATCAGTGGCGCCTTCACCATGTCAAACAGTGGTATTTTGGGCTGGAAGAATTTTGGACGGTTTGCCCCCCCCGTCCCCCACGTTGTACTAATTAGGTTAGGTTAGGTAAGGTTCGTCAGGAAACAGGACAAATGTTTCTTAACGCGGGTCTTAGATGATGACCCGCCATTGGAGTTTTTGGTTCTGCCCGGGGCCCTTTTCCGCGGTTTACTGGTCCCCCCCTTTTAAAAAATTTAGGGTCAGTTATAACCATTTAGTTATTACGTTGTACTGGATTTATTATTAAGATTATTTTTACTAAGCACCATCAAATCCTGTATTGTTCTTACATCGCCTGGGTAATGCCATGAAATATGATTTGATCTAAGGAGAGTGTAGATCCAATTTCTTGGATCAAGAGCCCTTCACTGGCATCAAGGCACCACCCCTGAGCGTAATTGGATATATACTGATATTGCATCTATTCTTGACGTTTCAATCGCTTTAAATTTTTTCGTCGATAACGTGAACTCTCTTCGTGAAGAGATAAAATGCAATTATATCCGATTAGATCTAACATGCTCTTTTCTAACGAGAAATTTACTACCCACGGTTAAATTTTCCACGACGAATTTAGAGGGTTTAGAGCAATCTATATAGTGTTCGGCGACTAATTGTGAGGGAAATATTTTGTACCATCGTTTAATAGAAATTCATCGTCTCGTTTTACGTATCAATTGCACGGGTTTTGTCTGTATTTTTCTGGTTTATTTTTTTTTTTCTTTCCCATTTTTTTTTAAGACAAAATCTATAAGAGTTCCCTTCTTTAATTAATTTTCTCTAACTTTTCTGTGGCTTCCACCCTTTTTTTAAAAGACCTTTTTTGAGTTCTTTAAAGGAGACTTTGAGAAGAGTGCAATGAAAATTTTAAACAGGGAAAAGAGTAATCACTCGTTAAAGGGGTTCACAGACGGGAAAGGGAAAAAAAAGTTTTTTGAAGCTGCCAAATTCCATTTTGAAATATGCTAATGAACTCAAGTAAGCAGGAACACAGCTTCTCATTTCATAGATGTAGCTTGCTCTGGCAGAGGAATCTGCCAGAGAATGGTGAGTACCGCGTAAAAAAAACGACTTTAGCAGGTCACAGACCGGGCCCGGGGGCTTTGACCCCCGGAACTCCCCCAGAAAACCCTTCCAGGTAAACGCCCAAACTTTTTGAGTTGTCGTAAACATCGACTTTTCCATTGTGTTGCTTTTTGATGATAGGTCGAAAGAGGTTCAAAGTTGATAACAATGGGGTACTGGGGCGATGTTCCGTACACCCCCGTCAAGAATAATTTCTTCCTAAAAAAAAGAAAATAACTTCAATACTATATAAAAAAAAAATTTTAAAATTTATATATATATTATATATATATAATATATATAAAATAATATATATATATATATATATATATATATATATATATATATAAACAGTTTTTTTACTTAATATATTTTTCGTTTTATTTTCTCTGGGTAAACCCTTTTAAAGGGAAAGGGTTCCTTGAGGGGGTGAGAGGTTTTTGATCTTATTATTTTATAGTATTTTTATTTCTTAATTAGTTTATATATTCGTTGAAGAATTAAAACATATCCCAAACCCAACGGTTTATTATTTATGCGTTTCCCCAAACCCATGCTCTGTCCCGCCCTACCAGTGACGATCCCTTCATCTTCTAACCCAGTACATAAACCCGCTTTTTCCCGCCTGTGATTTTGATTAATCAAGACTGCGGGACTGAACACCTTCTCCTAAGCTGAGGGACTGATACCTCTCTCTACCCTCCCTCTTGAATTTTAAAATGAAAAGGGCCCCTGTGGGCGAAAAAAGTCTATAAATAAAGATTTCAAGTTGTTGTGCATGTGCTAATTCTTCAAACCCCGGTTTTCAAACCATGATGTTTGGATTATTTTCCCGGGGAAGCTTAAACCGGGAGTTTCGAGCGCCCCCGGGAGGGGTGATGGGTGGGTAATCAGGTTCGACCCAAAAAAGAAGCCGATAAAAAGGTAAAACAAGTGTGCAACACTTAGGTGTCTTTAGTGTCCAACTTTTCACGTGCTGCAAATTTTTTTAGTGAATACAAAAAATTTAACCTGAAGACAGAGTTATAATCTCCCAGATTCGCGAAGGGGCTGCTGCCAGTTTTAAAGCAACAGAAGATGCCTGTTACAAAATGTTTTACTCATCAATCTTAAAGCGAAAAGGGGACGGTAAAAATTCCTTAGCAAAGGGGCCCCTCACTATACAAGGCCCTCCATAAGTTCTCATTTTGGGTTTAATAAACTTCCCGTATTATCTCCCCCATGTTTTATTTTTTCCTGCCCCGCCCTTTTTCCGTTTCTTTGTGTTTTGCCTTAAATTGCCTCATACTTTCCCTTAACAACCCACAACAAAGGGGCAGTGCCTTCGTTGTCTCTGGGTCTTCATGGAAACAATACCATCATCAAGAAACAAAGGGGTTTCTGGCTCTTCTCTTCGCGGGAAAAATGGACGCCACAATTCAGGAATTCCTACGGTTTAACAGAAAAAAACATTTTTGTTTCATTTCAAATTTTCTTTGGGCGGTAAAGTGTTTGAAAAAATATATAAAAATTTGAAAGCTGAGTCATTAAATTTTTTCAAAGGGCCAAATTTCAAGCCACGGTCCAAAATTTGGGGGTGAAAAATCCAGGAAAATTTAAGGGGATGAGTCCGGGGAAATGTAAAAAACAAAAGCATAAAAGTCTTTGGGAACGGGCCCCGAAATCTTGAAAAAAAACCAGGAATTTTGGGTTGCACGATCCCCGGGTTTTTGAGGGCACAGCCAAGAAAATTTGGAAAAACCAGGGAAATGTGGAAGAGATCGTCGTGTTTGTGAACTGCGGAAAAAAATGCTATATTTTTTTTTGGGGTTATCCATCTAAGAGGCTCGTTTTCGTTTTAAACGAAACGCAGGAGTTGGCATAGAAAAAAAGGGGGTTTAAATCAAGTTCACAGTATAAGGTATGAAAAAAACCACGGTCCGAGATAGGGCATGAAAAACTTGTACATATAAAAAGAATATGTACAATACGAATACATAAACTACATACCTTGATTAAAATTTGTTTCTTGAGAAAGGAATCAGAGAGTTAAACAAAAGGATATTCGTGGGGGGAAGGGGCAGATAAGGGCGGGGGGTGTTTCGTTACAAGATGAAGGAAACACACCGA